AACCTTAACCCTAAACCCGAAACCCTAAACCTTAAACCCTAAACTCGAAATCCAGTCACAGAGGTTGCGCGTGTGTTACAAGATGAGCGGCCGCGAGGTTGGGGGAGTTCTCCACACTCCTGGGCGGTTTAGGGTTTAAGGTTTAGGGTTTAGGGTTTAGGGCTTAGGGTTTAGGGCTTAGGGTTTAGGGTCCACCACGAACAGCTTCATTGAAAGATCCGCAGCAAAGGAGCTTAGGGCTTAAGGCTTATAGGGTTGAGGCTTGAGGGCTTGAGGGCTTTAGGGCTTTAGGGTTCATAGGGTTGAAGGCTTAAGGCTTAGAGTTCAAGAGGACTCTTTTTGAGGATTAACCATACAACCATGTACGATGAGATGCTCTCATAAACCGCCGTGCATGGCTGGTGCAGCCTAGCGTCAGCACGCCGTGCCGATCACCAGGAACTTCAACGACATTCAGGCTGGTGCAATACCTGATCGCGAATGATCTCGCAGCAGTTACAGTAAGAATGGAATAACCAATCCTGGGGGCATAATTTACTGGTTTCGGGTTTAGGGTTCTGAGTAGTTGACGGCGGGTGAAACTGTTTCAATCCTGGCCAGGAAAACCTGCTGCCATCAGTGCCGAGTTGCAAGCTAGTAATTGTCCTAAGGTGCTCCAGTTCCTCCGAAGGGCAGTCTTTGGCCAAGACCAGCAGCGTTGGCCCATCAAAGGTCTCAAGGGAGCAGCTATCAGCTCCTACTTCCATCATCCAGTCCTCAGTAGTGAAGCCCTACGCCCGGCTTAAGGTTTGGGTTCAGGGCTTAGGGTTTGGGGTCTGAGTTTCAGGGCTTTGGGCCTAGAGCTTAGGGTTGAGCGATAATTTACAGCTCAATCCTGCTTTGTCATTTCGGGGGCACTTTGACATTAGCCGTTGGTTAGGATTCTGTCTTGGGGCCGGGGGGCGTGTAGGGTTAAGGGCTTCTGAAACCCCATTTCTGAAACTCCCATTTCAGTGTCGCCAGTGACATCTTGTCTTGAACAAGCCACTTCTCTCTCTTAGCTGGGTGGGAAACCAAGCGAACCTCCAACGACGCAGCTGAGGCTCTATTCGCTTCGCCTCGGTTCGGAAACTGCAAAGGATCTCACAAAGCGTGAAGTCAAAATCTGTCACAGATGCCACCAAGAAATCCCGAACCCCGAAAGCCTAAACCCTACGCCTCAACAACACGAAAGGCAGCCAAGGGGCCGTCCTGTGAACGAGGGATTTGAACCCATCCACTGACATTCCACTCAAGCTCTCTGACAGTTTCCAGTAAGCTTTCATCACCAGCTTCTTGGATGCCCCCTCCAAAGCTGAGCGCACAATCTCTCCTGGCACTGCCAAAAGGGACAACCACGGCTGAAAGATTCACGGACTGTTTTCCTTGAATCGGGCTTTCCTTGACTAGGGCTATCGGCATAGGTAGGGTTACTGCAAGTAACTTTAATGCCGTATCTTTCGCTATATCTGTATCTGTATCTAAAACTATCTATCTATCTATCTATCTATCTATCTATCTATTATCTATCTATCGATCTATCTATCTATCTGTCTGTCTATCTATCTATCTATATACATACATACATACATACATACATACATACATACATACATACATACATACATACATACAGACAGTCTATATTTCTGTATGTACATATATATATATACATACACACACACACACACACATATATATATATATATTTATATTTATTTATTTATGTGTGTGTGCGTGCATAAATTGTCCCGCCGGGCTTTATGCTTGCTTAGCCTGTGGTGCATCCTCGCCTCGGACTCGCATCAACCTGATGAAGTGACCCGAAAGCCTAACCCCTGAACACCTAAACCCTAAATCCTAAACCCCCAAACAACTAAACCCTATAGCCCTAAACTCCTGAAACCCTGAACTCCTTCAACCCCTAAACCCTACATCCCTAAACCCTAAACCCCAGGCCCTAAACCCTAACATCCTAAACCCTACATGACAAACCAGGGTCCCCCACTGTCCCCTTAAGAATAAGGGTGCCCGTTCTCTCTTATTCAGGTTTTAAAGAGGGAAGCCCAAAAGCAAAAAAGGGAATACCGGGAAACATATTTAAAGTTTGGGAGTACAGTACAGGATAGGTGTATCGGGACTCTGGGGGGATACCATTACTCATTCTTCCGATCCCTATCTTACCACCAGCCTTGTTCAGACTCTCCTTGTGTGGAACAAACACGCGCGCGCGCACACACACACACACAGAGACACACACACCACAAACGCGTTCAGACTCCCTGTGTGCAACATGCACACACTCGCTAGGCAAGCTGCGGCGCATCTGTCTCATGTAAAAAACGCTGAAACCCGACAAAACCCTGAATCCTTAACCCAAACCCGGAGCCCAAACCTCAAAACCTAATCCCGAGCCCCCACCAAAAAAAGAAACATCCGTTCCATTCTTCACCTTCCGCTCAGGCACCAGTGCACTCCGCTAGTCTTTCCGAGCCATCATAGGCGGATTGACAGGCTACCTGCAGCTGGCCTGGGCGTGAGGGTTTATTGGTTCGGGGTTTAGGGTTTCAGGGTTTAGGGCTTAGGGTTCATTGCCATTGTAGTGAATAGTCAGAATGGGTTTTGTATGGTTTTGCGGTTGCTATAGTACACGCATAATTGCAGCATAGTACGAGCCGTCGTGTTACAAGAAGAAAATAACTTGGGCCTCGAATTCTAGAGTATCCCAGAGCCCTAAACCCTAAACACCTTCAACCCTCAACCCTAAACCAGACGGTTTCTCCGGGGTAGCCCTAAACCCTAAACCCTCTAACCCTCTAAACCCTAAACCCTAAACCAAAGGTCTTGGGTCCTGGGATTTCTTCTTCTGGAGGCTTAGCTCTGGGGGGTTTGGAGTTTTGGAACTTCGGGGCTCTGGAGGCGGAGTTGAGATTCCAGGGCGCATCTTTGAAGCTTCTCTCCCAACCTTTCCAAAATCAGGGTTAAGGGCTTTGGGCTTGGGGTTTAGGGGTTTAGGGGTTTAGGGTTTAGAGTATAGGGCTTAGGGTTTAGGGCTTTGGGTTTGGGGTTTAGTTTAGGGTTTAGGACCTCCAAGTCATGAAGCCGGGACCACATCCTGCTCGGCCCCTCCAGCGCGAGACTTCCCTTGATGTGCAGTCTTGCCTGGCTATGTCTCAGTAGGAGGCAAGGTGCGGTCTCTGTCACCACACTAAACCCTTCTAGAACCCTATACAACCCTTTCAGAAACCTCAACCCTAAACCCTAAACCCTATACAACCCATGCAGAAACCTCATAGAACCCTATACACCCGAATGAAGACTCGAAAGAACCCCTGGCCGAAACACCAACCACCCAAATCAAGGAGAGCTCTTCCAGAGTTACCCAATCTATCTATCTATCTATATGTATGTGTATATGTGTGTGTATATATATATATATAGATAGGGCTTCTTCTGTTTTCTTTGAAGGTGGTAATAACATGGGGGCTCTATAAACCCAAACCCCTCAAGCCTACCCACCAAGTTTGCAGGAGATGTGAAGCAGAAGAGCCTTTCAGTTCGTACGGGTCGTCCTCCTGCAGTTGCCTCGGCTCATGCCACATCTGAACTCTCCTGCGGTTCAGGGTTTAGGTATAACGGAAATGGAGGACACTCAGTGTGCACTACACCCCCTGGCCCTCAAACCCGAAACCCAGACCTGAAAATCAAAACCCTCAAGCCCAAATCGTGTATTGAAAACCTCACGTAGTTCCCTGAACCCTAAAAAACCCCACGCAGTTCCCTAAACCCTAAACCCCTAAACCCCAAACCTCAAACCCCAAAACCCCTAAACCCTAAACCCCGAAACCCGAAACCCTAACCCCCTAACCCCTAACCCCTAAACCCTGAACCCCTAAACCCCTAAACCCCTAACCCTAAACCCCAAATTCCTCCAGGATGCCACAAGGAGTTCGCCTCCTTACTGGCGAAGTCTGCAGCACCGAGGCACCGAGCAATCAGCAGCGTGGCCTCCGTTTCCGAGGAGACTTTGCACTTTTTGGGGAGGTTTAGGGTTTAGAGGGGGTTTAGGGTTTAGAGGGTTTAGAGGGTTTAGGGGGTTTAGGGGGTTTAGGGTTTAGGGGGTTTAGGGTTTAGAGGGTTTAGAGGGTTTAGAGGGTTTAGGGTTTTGGGGTTTTGGGTTTGCGGGTTGAGGGGTTATGGGCTCTTGTCAAGGAGTTTACTCTAAGTTAACATAATGAGGGAAGCCGGAATGCGTACTTTAGATCCCTTATGACGGTAACTTAATCCAAACTCCTTGGCGAGTAGTCAGGCTTAGGGGCTTTGGGCTCATGGCTGTGAGCTCAAGGTCAAGCTTGGGGCTATCGAACAGGGCTAGAGTTTAGGGCTTAGCATGTGACGCGGTTGGGTTTTGGGTTTAGTGTGTAGCTGCGGCTTCTTGCGGAGAGAAGGGGAGGAGCAGGAAAGGGAAGAATCTAAGAAAGGAGACGGAGAGACAGGGAGAGCAAACCCTAAACCCTAGACCCTAAACCCCAAAGAGAGGGCCCTAAACCCTAAACCCCAAAGAGAGGGCCCTGAACCCTAAACCCTAAAGAGAGGGCCCTAAACCCTAAACCCTAAAGAGAGGGCCCTAAACCCTAAACCCTAAAAAGAGAGGGCCCTGAACCCTAAACCCTACCCTAAACCCTAAACCCTAAAGAGAGGGCCCTGAGCCCCAAAAAAAAACGGCAGCCTCGCATGTGCTCCCGAGCCAGCTCGCGCTGAAACAGCGGTCGGGCACCGGGCCGCCAGACCAGGCGACTTCGCCTGCCGGCGAGCCGGGCTTAGGGTTTAGGGCTTATAGGGTTTAGGGTTTAAGGTTGAGGGTTTAGGGCTTAGGGTTGAAGGTTTAGGGTTTAGGGTTTAAGGTTGAGGGTTTAGGGTTTAGGGTTTAAGGTTTAGGGTTTACGGTTTAGGGTTTAAGGTTTAGGGTTTACGGTGTTTCTTTGGGTCTCTGCACCGAACCCTAAACCCTAAACCCTAAACCGTTCTTATGATAGGGTTTCTGGGGGGTATTGTGAAATCTTTCATCTGTTTGCCGAAATCTGACGGAGTTTACGGCTTTGGGCCTGGGGGGTTCGGCTCTTGCGTTTTCGGGCTGAGGGTAAGGAACCAAGGGTTTGGGGGCCTTGGGGTTCGGGGTTTTAGGGTAGCTTGAATTTGCGCGCCGTGCCATGCGCCCCGTGGAACCCTGAAACCAAACTGAAATCTCTACCTCTACCTCTGTAACTCTAGACCTCTGTGTCTATACATACCTCTACACCTCTACCTCTACTTCAACCGACCCCGAACCCGAGCTCCTGTGCATCATCACAGATCATCACCCTTAATCCTAACGTCGCAGCTTGCAAGCCCCACCTCTAAAGTTTAGGGTTTAGGGCTTTAGGGCTTTAGGGTTTTAGGGTTTAGTATAGGGGTTTAGGGTTTAGGGCTTATTATAGGGGTTTAGGGTTTAGGGTTTATAGGGCTTATTATAGGGGTCTAGTGTTTAGGGTTTAGGGCTTATAGAGATTTAGTATTTAGGGTTTAGGGCTTATAGGGCTTGCAGAGATTTAGTACTTAGGGTTTATAGGGTTTAGGGCTTATAGGGGTTTAGCATTTAGAGTTTAGGGTTTATAGGGCTTACAGAGGTTTAGTACTTAAGGTTTAGGGCCTATAGGGTTTAGTACTTAGGGTTTAGGGTTTGCCATGTCGGCACGCCAAGTCAAAGCTGACACGTCTTCTATCGCAGGTTTTTTGGAGTTTAGGGGTTTGGGTCGATCTTTAGGTACATCCTACACCCCAAACCCTGAACCCTACATTTTGTCCATGGCTCAAAACAGCCCAAAATGCCTTAGATGGTATGGTCTTTGGGCCCAAAGGCCTTAAAACAAGAGTCCTTAGAGCCTTAAGGTTTCGCTCATTTCAACTTGTACCTGAGGCCTCGCGGCACAGCGCTCTGCCGACTTGACTTTGCAGCGCTTCTGGTCTGAACGAAGTGTTCCGTGCGCTTGTTCTCGCGTTTAGTCTTTCGTAGGGCTGTACGAGGTTTCAATTTCCAGGTGTTTTCTATTATTCAGGCAGGCATGCTATTATGGTTAAAGGAAACTACAGGTGGGGAGTTTAGGGTATATAGGGCTATAAGGTGTATAGACCTTCTATAAGGCTCCCATTAACGGTAACTACCCACTTGAACATGTCCTGGAATTGGGCTCTAGAGCTGGAAGGGGTTTTCATGGCGGGATTACCCGGACGCTTGCACTACAGACCCCAATCCCCTGCAGCCCTCCAACGCTGAGCTTGCAATCCCAAGACCGG